TTACGGACCTCGAAGCTCTATATCAAAGAAAGTCGACCGTACAGATGATTGTGTTCTAATAAACGACTGGATAATGGTTACAAGAATGTAGATCATTTTTTTAAACTCTAAGCTATTAATCCAGTAATTTTAAGCAAATGTAATCATGAGTTCACCTAAGTCTAATTAATACTATGCAACTGTTTCGGCAAAGGCTACTATTGGGTGTATAGGTAGATTCTATGGCTTACTTTTAAACAGAATGACTAATATGTGATAGTCAGTTTAAGAATGAAATAAAGAACCCCATCTTCTGTACATTTTGATTCACAGCAATTAAATGCAAAGTACACTGAATTGACCTGATGATAGCTAGTCATGGGCATAAGATTTTAATGGTATTGAGCTGCAGACTTGATCGATGACCCAAATAACAGCGAATTCTATTTAATAATTTACTCAGATGATGACTGATTACAGAGTGAAGCAGATGAATGTTGAAATATGGGACAACTACCAATTGATCGAAGAATTGTCCAACAAATCAAAAGATATTTTCTTATAATTAGATATAAAGTGCAAAACGATGTGATATATAAATATTCAATAAACTAAAAGTACTTGGTAGCTCAATGAGAACAAAGTTCAATGAATAGACGAACGGCTTTTAGTTGTGTGGTAATGTTAAATGGAATTTTCCAATTCCGTGTCAACAAAACAATTTTTTATTTATTTGAACACATAAATATTGGTACAAAATGGCGCCGAATAGATATGCGCCACACAAGTCACTTGGTTTGTGTACGGGCTATGATACTGCCCCGATGCCCAGAACAAAGCAGGTGGTTTTCTTAGGGAGCCACATCCCGAGACTCTGACCTGAAGGTCTAATCCACAAGGCGGTTGAGAAACGTTAGGAGATGCAGCCCCATAATAACCCGTGACCAACAGTTGGCTCATATGCCATTTTTTGCTTCAAGATCCTGGAGCCCATGTGCATCAATTGTTGAGAACCAGGATTTTTCAACTCCTCTAGGTGGACCCTCCGTAACCACCGACCCGGTTGGAGCAACGCACATTCGCTTTTCGTCTTCTCAATTTCGTAAAAAACACCCTGTAGTGAGCGGGACTCCCTTGACAGTGGCTATATACGCGTGACCATATGAGAGCATTTCGAGACGGAGAAATAACTCTCCCCACCCTCGGCCATACCAAGGCATTTGGGGGCATTAAAACAAGCACAAACCAGTAGCCGCTGAATAAATATTAGTTTGGTAAAAGATATATGATAGAGATATTCCTGTAGTCAGGAGATTTGTAAAATCTAGGAAAAAAAACTTAACTGTAGGAGTTTTCGACAAAAAAAGCACTAAAAATCCGTCCGGAAATCAAATACAGGATCTTTAAAGTGAACAGTTCCCACAAATCTTTAACATTAATAGGCCATATATTCATGTGCAGTAATTCAACACCATATCTATCACACTAAACGGACACAAATATCTAATAATTTAAAAATAAATGCCTCATATCTGATCAATCCCCGGTGCCATAGTCGTGGAGGTACATTGCTAAACTGTCCCGTACCAGAAAGAAATAGCTATCTAGTGCCTGAGTTTTCAATGGTGGTTTAGCTAAGATCAACTCGGGATTTACCCTATGAGAATTCTATAATCCCCACCAACTCCCAAAAAAAAACAACTAAAGTAGTTGTATATAATAGACTCATTCTATATAAACTTTCATAAAGTTTATTTGATAAAAGAAACAAGGGAAATTCAATAAATAATTGCATAAGAGTCTTTGTACTTAACTGTAATTAATTCTTGTAGTGTCCGACTTAAGAATATACATGTAATCCAACTACCTATGCTGTGGTATTTTCTTATCAACCCTAGAGATATCATGAACTCTAAACTAAAACATAGGAAGAAAGTTCTTTCACTTATAATCAATCCCGATAAATCGAATATCAATCATGGAATGGTAGAATGTTGATAATAATTAATAAGAAGAGGTTTTGTGGAGATCTTAGAAATTTCACTGGTTGAAATCATGAGTCAATTGAAGCTAGATCACCATGGAAAACCTGGAAGCACTGGACAGCCGTTTCGTCCTAGTATGGGACTCCTCAGTAGTGCGCATCCACGATCCCGCCCCCGTCTAGTGCTTCCAGGTTTTCCATGGTGGTCTAGCTTCAGTTAACTCATGATTTCAACCAGTGAAATAATTAATAAGTGTAATATGATGAATCTAATACAAAGTTCAGAGAATATAACAACTACAAATCGAATATAGTTTGTTACCCTAAAAAGGTTAGATACTAACATAATTCTAACAATTTGGGTCAAGGTAATTTGACCAACCTACATTCTTGTTTAACAACCAATTGAGAATCGATAAAAATGACCTTCAGGTTAGTGTATTGATTCATATAGAAGATTAATGTTTGTTTTTGTGATGTATGGACATTTGAATGAATCCCGGTACGGTATACATATTTTCTTAATGAACTATATGTACTAGTCGTTTTTTAGTAGTAATTACTACATACATCGTTAAAAATGTTCAATAAAGTGAGTAGATTCTATGTTTATGTACATGGAGATTATTAAATTTATTCTATAATGATACTACTGTAAAACTTTTATTCTTTAAAAATCTATTTAAAATGTAATTTTTATGAGCTACATTCTACAATTTGATCGTTTGATGTACTTTTCAGTAAGTTTATTGAATGAAAATATCCTCAACAGAAATAATTAATTTCAATGATTGAAATCATGAGTCAATTGAAGATAGACCATTATGGAGAACCAGGAAGCACTAATCGGACCGTTTCGTCTTATTATGAGACCCTTCAGTAGTGCGCATCCACGGTCCCGACTTGGGAGATTCGAACCCAGGACCTATCAATCTCGCGCGCGAGAACTTAACCTCTAGACCACTGAGTCGGCATCCAATGGTGGTAATGTCTAACTCCAACCAATCCACGAAACGGCCGTTCAGTGCTTCCAGGTTTTCCATGGTTGTCTAGCTTCAATTGATTCATGATCTCAACCACTGAAATTACTGTAACATCCACAAAAACTCCTTCTGATAGAAATAATTAAGTTGAATCCTTCGACAAGAATTTACAACATAAAGAGGAAAATTACCTTGACGGGTCAATATACAAACTTTCTTAGTTTTATCCCTCTACAATACAAAAGGAACCTTATTAAGATACTGCATCATAAAATCAAGACTATATGCTCTGTGGATACGATTGAAGATGAAATAAAGTCATTATACATAACCCTGAAGGAAAATGGACATCCCGAGAAGTCTATAAATAAAAACATAGCCACTGTACATTTCAAAGCTCTATAGTCAAGATCATGAAATAAATTGAGAAATACAAACAATGATTGCATTAAAAAACTACATTGCTGAAGAAAGTCTCATTTAAAGCAATCCGGAATTAAACTGCATTGAAGCTAGTAGACATTAGAACGCAATTATATTTTAGTATTACAGGAGATTCAGACTACCTAATTTTCTGAAGGTGGACAGCTCTAAGAAAAGCTTGAATATTCTTTGTCCGATGGATGGTGAAGTAGTTGACGCAATTTGCTGAAGATACCCATATTTGTAAGAAGTGGCTCTTCAGAGCTTCCTCGTTTTCAGTGACTGTTCAGTTCAAGTTAGTGCGCGATACCGAACAGTAATTATATTTTGTCGTGGATGTTCTTTCGTCGTTTAATAAACTGGTCTACATGTTTGTCATGTCTAATACTATGTCAAGTCCATATAGATTATTCTAGCCTCCGGACAGACTAACTTATTTATTCTTCTGGAGTTTTATTTTGACTTTGTCACTTATTAGCTTACTAACCTTGACTATTTTTATATGAGCGCATCTGTGTACCACTTACCCTATTCATCAATTATCTTTAGCTTATTAATTTATGGATATAAATATTAATCACACTTTATCAAATTTAGTTGGCACACGTGCCTTCTCCTGTCTGCTTCTCCGCTTTATTTGTACGAAATTATACGTATTCAAGGTTCATTCTCATATTTGGAATAGTTTATTCTGTTATTCTTTAACGCGAATTAAATCGATTATTATGTACGAGTGTAGCCAGGATGTATAGTTCGTTAACATCGTTGTACAACAAAATTGTAGTCAGATCAGTAGGCCAAAAAAATATCATCTCAACATTGTAGAACTGTATTTCTGTATCAGTCAGTAAGTTATAACAAAGTTTAGGGTACTGGATAAAGTACTGGATATCAATCAAAATCATTAAAATGACACTAATTATTTCCAAAAAAAAGTCTTGTTCAACAAAATGAATGACCCATAATCAGATTGAAAATCGAAAAAATTAAAGAAACCCAATATTCCAGTAATCTCTAACCAAATAGACTATTAGAAATAGCATAGAATTATCTTACCTTCCATTTACATCCATCGATTAAAATTAAATTGAGAATGAACAAAAAGAAAATCATATTCAATTATGTGAGGGAGAAAAGAACACAATATAAACAATCAAAAATACGTAGAATAAGAAAAAAAAACACTTTAAAAAATATAAAATAAAATTACTATAAATAGTAGAAAAGACTCGAACTTATGCCCGTTTACAAAAACAAAAAAAACAACATAACTCATCAGTATGAGGAATAAAAACAATATAGAAAAGTAATTCATGAAACAGAGACGCCATGACAACAAGATGAAATTAAGTCACAATTTCATTATATTCATAAAAAAATAAACATACTACTTGTAAGTAACGTAACGCAACATAGTGAAAGAATAAGAGAGGTAAAAAAGATCTTTTTTGTTGTTGTTGTTTCAACAAACAAAATAACAAATAAACATATGGCATTAAAATATATAAAAAACAAACAAACAAACAGACATCTTACAAGATAATCTGATAACATCAACTTTTTATTTGTTACTTCTATCCAAAAATATTGACCGATAGATGGTAATAGATGCATTCACCTCTCTATCATGTTCACCTGGAAGGCGGAGAGGACATGAAATCTATGCAAACACGACGAATAGAATTGATCCATCTAAGAAAGTAAAGAAATAAATACAGAAACGTTTAGAGATGTGAATGTGTGTGCATGCATGTGTGAGTGAAATGTAGAGAGAGAGAGAGAGGGTTGAAGTGATTCATAAAAAAGAAAAACATTAATAATACATTATACTGTGTAATTGAACACGTCTAATTTGAAGAGATAAGAACTGATGATAATAAAGCCTTAAGAAAAAGGTGGAAGCAAATCACTACAGTTAAGCCTGTTTATTTACAACAAAAAATATGTTGTTGATCCATTACCTTTATTGATAAGGTGAAATTGTTTTGACCTCTAAATATTTTAAACCAAGTAAACAAGTAAACTTGGATAATTAGAAAACAACATACTAAGAAAGGTGTTAGTCAATGTCTTTTCTTTTTAAAAATAAAGAGTCAGTTAATTTGCTTTGTAATTAATTGATTAGGCACTACTTTGCAGGAATTGTTAAAACAAAGCAATTTTATGAAACTAAAAATAAGAAAGGACGATTCCTCGGAGTTAATCAGTCATGATCAGGATGAAGTCTGGTAAAATGGTGAGTTAGCTCACGTTTCTATGACAGATAAGCACGATGAGATGACGATGACAAGATGAACAGGAAAAGAGATCGAAAAAATATATGATAGCAATGATAATGAGAAAGACTAAATATTGGTTCAAAAAGACAGAGTGGGAGGGTATATATATAAAGAAATAGTGAAGTTCAAGATCTAGAAAAAACATTGAGTGATATTATTACCGGACTGATATCCATTAAGGGACTATTTAAAATGACAAAAAAACTGGAAACATACAATCCTCTTCGCCCAGGAATTCTTAGCGGTACAGGACCATGACTCCACTTATGGTCAAGGAGAAGGCTTCTAACTTTTTAGGGAGAGTACACTTTTTAATCGGCCAAAGAGTTGGAATCAGCTCGTACATTTCCTGATACCAGTCAGCTAGAGATATACCGACGCCCTGACTAAACGTCATTAACATATTACAGTCTTATTTCTGACTATATTAATATTATCTAACTGCTTGAGTAAATTATACTTCGGAACTTACTAGCTTTGTAATGTATTTTTTCAAGATTCGCATAAGTAGCTAACACAGATGAAGGTGATCAAAAGGTAAATTAAATGAGGTTGAAAATGCTGATATTTAGATACCGCTTCAGTGACTTAATGTTTTAGTTGGTAGAGTTTTGTTCTCTAAGCTCAGAGAACAAAACTAATAATGAGAATAAAATAATTAATTGAAGATTTAGTGAAGGAAAAGTAAGACACATTAGTGCAACTGAGACCAATGTCGAGTCATATCTGAACAGTCTCCTACTACAGAACTGTTCAGCAAACTTTAGACAGGTAATCTGTACCTCCAAACACAGCTTGGTCCAACAACCTGACACTGAATTGATATAACGTCTCGGTATGGAAGCCCTAGATTTCTTTCAGGCGTATTTAACGTATCTCTCAACAACTCCAGTTGATGAATTATCATGGAATTAACAGTCGATTTACCATTTTTATATAGTATTCTCACTGTGAGTAACTACTCTTTGATTTACTTAAAAGAATAAATGTTGATAAAACAATGATCTCATCAAGTCACAACAAAAAAAGTTTTAAAACAGGCTAAAAGCCAAAAAAATAAAGTAAAAATATAGACTCACTGTGTTCTGATTTCTACTGTTGTTGCTTCAAAATAATGTGCTGGACGGTCTGTATTTAAAGGTAACAGAAGAAAACCTAAATTATTACGCAGAAGACCCAATATCTCAGGACTGATTGTTTCTACATGTTTTATTATTTCACTGTTAGTTACAATTCCCTCATCATCAGTGGATTGATCACCAGAAAAATTACATACAGAATTTTTATGATTCTCTTTAGAGGATCTTTCTCTACAAGATTGTGTAGATCGGTTCGATAATCTATCAGCTTCTAAGGTACTAATTGATGATGGTTTGATAAAAGATTTCGATAAAGATGTTACATCTGAAAGACTAGATGTTTCACTAGAAAATCCATGATCAAATATATTACGATCCCGTGGAGGAGGTTTACAGTTTCGATATATAGGATTACCTTGTCTATATAATCTAGAATATTCCCGTCTAAATGACCCAATAGTGTTTTCAGGAAAATCCTTGTTCACATTAGACGAATTATCAAAACTTCGTGCTTTAGTATGCAGCGTAGGTTGTTGTATTGTTGATAAATCACCATTGTGATTTGAAAATGTATCATTGAAATTATCATCTAGGTAGAATAAACGTAAACCTATCACAGTAATTTTATCTACTGCACGTGTATCAGCACGAGCAGCGTAGAATTCGAATGAAGTATCCGTTTGTAAAACACAAAATAAACGAGATAGGCATGCAGATGATGATTTATGATTTGTCGATTCTATATTAATTGATGAGTCGAACGATCGATTGTTGATGTGAGGCAGTGAATTAGAAGTTGATTTGGTATTTGAATCATGATGATTGTCCACGGGATCTGTAGAAGAGTTTTTGCATGCAAATTTGCTAGAAGAGTTAAATGGACCAATATCACGAAGCAATTCTTTTCGTATTTCAGAACTTGTATCAACAGATCGATACTGTACGGAAGATTTTGGTAGTCGAATAGGTGATTTTGTAGACCATGAATTATTGAAATGACTCCACATTAAGAAACCAGTTCTCAATGGTTGAGGTGGTTGCTGCTGTAAATTAAATTATGGCACATAAAGGTATTTCATAACAATGACCATTACAGAAAAAAACACACAAAAAACCCAGACAAACGTGTCTATCTAAAACTAGTTTCATTACAACCTGGCTGATAGAATTCTACCAGCACTAAGAATTAAATAACTAGTGCAAATGTCTCAATCATAAAGGTAAGTTGCTGTTTTAATAACTCAACGGCAACGTCTTATACTACAAATCTGGGTAACCTGAGCTCAAATTCAACATGAACCATCAGTACACCTTGATGATGAGTGACAATTAGCATGAAAACCAGGTTCGCGGATACCTACCGTTTACCTCCAACTACCCAAGATCAAATAACACAGAGATTATCACTGTTACAGAACTTACTCTTATTCTATGCAGTAAAATACTTATTTACAGTGAGATGATGATTGACAGGTGAGCAAATTTAGACCATGAATATCGATCCTTATTTAAGTAGCCTAATTATGAATTAATTGGTTGGTACGTAACGAATACAGTTGATAATCTAAGTATAAGATGTCTAAGAGGAGAAGGGAAAAGGCTAAGATTTCATACTTCTTACACATTTATTAATGAGATGTGTTTGGAGCTTCAAGTATTCTCGATGCAAAATCGAAACATCAGATTGAACGTGCGAGCTACAACTCAATAGTGCTCACGGCCACTTTCTACTCAACCATTGCTATTTTTGTGACAGAGTATTGATTTGGTTTATTAGTTTTTAGCAACTGTAAAACAGGTTAAGGAGACCATCAGACTATCATAAATAAAAAGTCAGTCTACGAAGTTATTTGATGGGATTTATGAGCGCCTTTGTTGGAGTCTCATGAGATAATTGAAATTTATAACTGTATACTAAGTGGTATGACTCAGAATAGGACATATTAGAACAGGTGAATTTGTTTATCTTTTCATGAAATCTTCCTCTGAATCCTAATATCATGATTAATAAAGGTTAAAAAACTGAGATGGATGTAGATCCAGCTGATGAGTCCCATATACGATAGAACGAGCATCATAAATCCCATAACTAGCTACGAACTGTCTATTCTGAGACTTTAAATCCCGATTTTTATTAGTCTTTGTTTTTAGTTTGCTGATTTCAGCAATGAAAATTTAGGTCGATCCACATTTTTTTACTTTGTTCTACACTGTACGGTAAGTGATTGAAATAAGCTTTGGACTAATAGTCAACAAGTAAGTTAGTAAACGGAAACGAAGGGTATAATAAGAAGAAATGGATAATGGATACAAGTGAAAACCAGGGCGCGCGTTTCATCCTCTTTAGGATTCGTCAGCTATTTGTACCTGCATTTCAGAGTAGATGCTCACTCTGGGACTCAATTCCAGTTACTAACATCAATGGAGAGATTCAAACAACCGATACAAATGAATTAAAGAATAGTATATTTGATATTTGTGTCAATCACCAAGTTGACTTTAAAATGAGTCGATCTTGAAGATTCCACAAACACCACTTAAAGAATTTTATAGGTCCCACTTTACGATAATAATAATAACAATGTGTATTCTAATCCTATCGTTTTGAAGCCTTAGCAATTGTGTTATCAAATAATAAACCCGCATTTGAATGATTAAATAAGCAGTATACAAATCATTGAAATATTTATACGTATGAACATCGAAATTAAGTGAAATAGGCATGGTGTTAGTTAGCTTAGGTTACTGTTTTCTATTTTGGAGGGGGCAGGGTTGATAAAAACTTACAATGATAATCTTCATCAATATACAAAAGAAGAAAAAACAAACAAACAAACAAGTAATGAAACAATGAAATAATCAACTTTATGTTAAGAATGTCTCAATTTTATTTTCACTGAACCAATCATTCTTATTTTTTTTGTTTTCATGAAACAAAACTGAGGATACTTTCATGTAAAAAAGTTAGATAGATAAAAGTCTTCAAAGAAATCTATAGGATTTATCTGTTGTGGATATACTAAACAACATTAAACGTTCTTCCAGTATTACATCACTAACTACAATCTAAATTTACTAACAACTTGAAATTAGAGGTACTATTAAAAAGAATTTCTTATAACGTATATATTTTCACTGCTTGAAATCATGAGTCAATTGAAGCTCGACCGCCATGGAAAACCTGGAAGCACTGGACGGCCGTCTCGTCCTAGTATGGGACACCTCAACAGTGCGCATCTACGATCCCGCACCCCACGAGATTCGAAACCAGGACCTATCAGTCTCGTACCAAGCGCTTAACCAACTAGACCATTGAGTCGGCATCCATTGGTGTTAATGTCTAACTTCAACCAATCCACGAAGTTGCGCCACCGTACACCATTGTCTTCAGTGAGTTCTTATCTCACAACAGACCTGGTTGAACTCCACTGATAACGACTTCTCACTAGAACTGCAGGAGTGTCTCCTGAAGTCAGTCAGGTTTTCCATGGTGGCCTAGCTTCAGTTGACTAATGATTTCTACCAGTGAAATTACTAAAAATCTCCACAAAACCCGTTCTGACAGTATATATTTTCAATAGAAACTTGTTAATTCTAATCGGTAGTATTATTAACACCAGAAAGTACTCAAATCCTTTAAAATGATAATCATTTTTAATGGAAGTTGAAAGGCTTTATTTCTTTGATTTAGACAGTTTATCAATGAGGATGATTGCTTGTTAAATAGTAATGTAAACATTTATATGAATACAACAATACATAAAACGTTTTGGTGCAACAGGAGATTAAATGAAAATGTATCATAATAAATTGGAATGATATTATATTTGTGAAAAAAAGAAAGGTGGAAGGAGGGAAAAGATTATCAAATTAGTATAGAAAAGTAAGAATGATAGTTGATCAAAGATACAATGTACTGCTGAGGCGTTGGCAATTCACCAATTCAAGCCCGAACTCTAAGTTCATAAACGATCGATCCAAACTCTTATCATTCCTTAGCCCTAATTCCCTTCTGTAGTATGTTTTGGTTCTGTTTTGCAATTATAAACCATAATTAGTTAATATTATTAATAACCTTTCATAATTTTTCATGATCCTTATTAGGTTTTTATGATCTTTATGTTTTTCGTTTTTCTTCATATCTGTCAAGCGGAAAATCATCTTTTGTAATTTTGACTCGCAAATTAATTTCATTCTCCTATTGTTCTCTAACACCATGATGATTGCTCAATCTCATCTGATATTTGGTGTCTCGAATCACTTTATGGTGAAATCTTTCCTATCCTTCTACAGACATATATGTACTGTAATGAACGAGAACACAATTGGGGACAACCAAATGTATTTGAACACAAAATTACAGTGATTTGGGAAAATGTGAATATCATACGTTTAATACTTCATTTGCAAAATGTCAATCAACGGTTTCAGAATTTGTTGTTCCTTCATTTTGATTTCAATCACTCTCTGTTCCCATTCCCTTCTATTAAATCCTCTTAACCTTATGTTGTCAGGCATTCCACTTTCGATTAATGTTACATATTACTTATATCTGTCGACACGAGTAACACATAACATTACCATACAACTATGAGAAGAAAATTTTCTTCGCTATCAACATTATATAGCTATCGTTCATACCACTGGACCATCTTATAAACTGATCACCTCTGTGTTCTCTACCCAGTCCTAACGATTATAAATAATAAGTTAAATTCAGCAAGGATGATATTCAAGAAAAATGTTGAAGTGACGGGAACTGATGTTTTAGATCATGAGATCGATTGAACCACTTGAACAGATATTGTCGGATATTCGTCTTGTTTACGCAGTGTTATCACAGGTTATCAATAGTCCTTCAAGGATAACGATAATCGAAAGTAGAAATTCTTTGAACATCATTACGAAAGAACCAAGTTATATATATATATATACAAAGCGGAATTACTATCAGACTCACTGCGTATTTTGGTGGAGTTTTATTCTCTGAGCTGGATGGTTTGGTTGTGGAGCTTCCATCGTTATTTTGAACGACATCTTCATCATCACAAACTTCAGATAGACGTTTGTGCTGATGATGTCAGTCAGAATAAAGATGAAAACCCTAAGACCAAACTATTTAGCTCAGAGAACAAAACTCTACCAACTCACTGTATATCTAACTTTTCACAGCTAGACTATGAAGTTATGAAGTTATCAAAGATGAGTTTGATGGAAATATTTGATCATTTATAAACAGTTTAATCAATTTTTATATCATCATATTGTTTACATGAAAATATTCATATTCATATTTTCACTTATTGTATATATACATACATGTTAAATGAATCCATTATTGTATGGTGTAATAAACATTTCATGAAATGGTATGTTATCTACACTGTTGTGTAACGTTTTTTTTTTTGTGTGTGTTCAATACAATGAAATCTATGGTCGAAATAAATTAAACGTGACTTTGAATTAACTAATCATTCACATTAAATAAGGCTAAATTGGTTGAAATGACTAAGTGATAAAATGAACTTTTACAGTAAATCAAATGGTAAACATAAACATATGTATATATATTAGTTACCAAGTTCTATGACAAATATATTTATAATGGAGAACAGTTCGTGATTTAAACTGTGAAAAGATTCATGATCATATATATGAGTCACATCTAAGATGATATTCAAAAAAACAGTAATATTCTACAAAGATTATGACTATTCAAATATAAACTGTAATTAACAACTTATGTAATAACGAGGGAGAGTTATTGATTAAAACAGTTGCATGAACCTCAGTTTGGGCTTCAACATACACAAAGGAAAAACCAAGATCATCAAATATAACAAGGAGAACACTGAAGCAATCACACTTAATGGGGAAACTCTGGAAGATGTGGAATCATTTATGTATCTGGGGAGCATCATCAATGAACATAGAGGATCTGATGCAGACGTAAAGTGTCACATTCCCACAATCAAAGAACATATGGAACTCTAAACAACTGTCTGCAAGCTAACATCAAAGTGAGAATATTCAATACGAACGTCAAGAAAGTTCTACTCTATGGAACTGAAACTTGGAGAACCACTACAACCATCATCAAGAGGGTACAAGTAATTATAAATAGTTGTCCACGCAAGATACTCAACATCCATTAGACGGATACCATCAGCAACAGCCTACTGTGAAAAAGAAAAACCAGCTTCCATCTGAAGAGAAAACTAAGAAAAAACGATGGAAATGGATAGGACATACATTACGGAAATCACCAAACTGCATCACAAGACAAGCGCTAACTTGCAATCCTGAAGGGAAACGGAAAAGAGGAAGGCCAAAGAACACATTACATCGTGAAATAGAGCCAGATATGAAAAGGATGAATAACAACTAGAAAGAGCTGGAAAGGACTGCCCAGGACAGAGTTTGATGGAGATTGCTGGTTGGTGACCTATGCTCCTCCCCGAGGAGTAACAGGCGTAAGTAAGTAAAAATGAACCTCCGTTTAACAAATTCGATCATCTGAGTAAGTGGATAGAGTATCAATAGGTCATATATAAAAAATTTGGCGCTCAAAACCGAATAACACAACATAAATTAATACTTGACCAATAAGTTATAATAATTACTTAAAATGTAATGTACTGCAAAAATTTGTAAGGGAGTTATACATTCAACAGATGTATACCATATGGTTTGAGTTTCCCTAATTTAATAAGAGTTGGAAACAATGTTAATGTTACATTCAAGAATGGGCTAGATAATAAAGGATGAAAAGATTGGTTGGGCACGGTTTAAGCTACTCAAACAATTGTGTACTTGAATAGGAATAGTTCTATGGAGATTAAAAAAGAACTGTGTGAATGATACAGTGATCAATTATACTTTTTAATACTGTGATATGTAAACTACTCAGTGATTATTTTTAAACAAAAGAAACTTACTTTGTCTACTCGACGCAATATCGCCTCCATAATTTTAGGTTTTGGAGGTTTGAAATTCTTATTAAGTAAATAATAGTCTACAACACATACTCGTTCATATTTACCACCACAAGATTCCAATGGAGCTTTATATGCTGAACAGGAACCACAAAATAACTATTAACAATTAGAGAAAAAGAAAATATCTTTAAAAATTATGGTTTGATTTGCACAGAGAACTTTAAAAGTCAATTAGTTGTAAATAGCAGCGAAAATCATGGTAGACAAATGTGTATTAAGTTACGTTCCTAAAGATCTTGCCATTACTTAAAGCAAAACATAATACTATCTACTTGGTAACCTATGTCTAACTTTGGAATTATTCACTTGATAATCTTATCATACACAAGTAATGCTCTGATAATATATCTACGATCAAATGTCAATAACCAACAAATTTCTTTAACCTTTAAGAGTCATCATGGAATCTATGAATTGTGATCTAGGAGTAGAATTCAGAATAAAATTTTCGTCATATTCAGGACTCATCAGATAGATGTTTATATATGCGCGTTGATGTACGCACAGAAACATATATCGAAACAATTACTTTGAACGCCATGTTTTATGGTTAAACATTGAAAATACTGTGACTTTTGGACATTTCTAATTTATCTTATTCAACTCAACATCTTAATAGAATTTCTTAAAACAACTAGCATTATTGTACCACAACAATATGGACTTAGTTATTTCAAAGATTCTATTCATTGCTTTACAATTGACAAAAAAGTTATGATATATATAGTAAAAACACTGTACAATATTATATCTTTATAATATGGCCGAATGAAAGTAGTAACTGAGGTAAAAGATAAGATATCATTGAAAATAGCCTAGTATGGATGAAACAATTTATGGGGATGGTTTATTAAATTATTTTGTTGTTAGTTGATTAATCACAAATTTGCAAATTGAAAACTTTCTAGTCTTCAGAAATCTCTTATTCTCAAACTCCTAAACAGAAAGAACGGAGGAAAGTACTGAAGAAGCTTTGTTTTCAAGGTTAGTTCATGAGCTGAAAACAGGGGCGTCTTCTATGGGATGGAGTTAACGACCCCACACCCAACTCTTCTCCTTTACCCGGTCTTGAGAATCAGCTCTCCTTCTAGAAATGCTCTTACATGGCCACGTACATACAACCACTGCCAGGGAAGTCTTACTCATTACCTTCTCGCACCAGGGAGTGTTGCTTACGAAATTGAGAGGACGAAAAGTGAATGTCCGGTGCTTTAACCGGGTTGGTGAACATGGAGAGTCCACCTAGGGGAGTTGGAAAACCTTGATTCCAAACCAATGTTGCACATGAACTCCAGGATCCTTAAAGAACAAATGGCGTATGAACTAATCGTTGATCACCGGCTACCATGGGACTGCATCTCCTAACGTCGCTCCACTGACTTGTGGATCAGACCTTTTGGTAGAAGGCTTCGGATATGGATCCGTTAGAAAACTATCTGCTTCGGTTTGGGCACCCGAGCAGTATCCCAGCTCTCACACAAATCAAATGACTTGTGTGGCGCATATTTATTCGGCTCCTCTTTGTACCAATATTTGTTTCAAATAAATAAATAAAAATCTAGCGACTGTTTTATGGAATTTTAGAGATGGATCTATAAATCCGTCAATAAACAATGCAACAGTCAAGAATTAGATAATTTTGACATCGAGATATGTTATGAGAGGTTGGATTAGTTCTTTGAAGAATACGTTAACAAGTATTTTCCAAGTGACAAAATACTTTTATTGGCAGATAAATCTATCCGAAACCAAGGTAAAGATATATTCTATTTTATAGCAGTCTTGTCGTAATTTTATGCTAAAACTCAGTTATCTCATACAGAATTCAGTGCCTCGACTATAAGGCATATACGTTTAATTTAATGAGTGGAGGATACAATACAGCTACTCACAAAGAAATGGACCAAGCAACGTTCCAACTTATTAAGTAGTTGAAATTTCAGTACTAATCATTAAGATAGCGCTACCCATTTTATAGTTTTGATCACGAACTAAACTTAGCTAGGCGATTACTAAAAAGCGTGAAGTACTTGACAACATTTTCGTCATAATATGAGACTCTTCAACAATGTACATTAGCGACCCCACGTGAATCGAAACCAGGACATCAATAGCTCACAATGAGCACTTAAGATTTATACTACTGAATGGTCCATTTAGTGGTTTATATGTCTAAATTCAACCAGTACGTAATCATCTTTGGGTCACTGCCTCTCAACTGAAGAGATGTGCTCGTCTAGAGAAATGATTGTCCCAAATCTGAAGCTCCGTGAAGTTGTGCGGAAGTTCTGTTGAGGAGTCCCATACTAGGATAAAGACAGTTGTTCAGTGTCTCCTAGCCTTTCATGATTATTTAAATGAAACCAGTTCGAGATGTAAACTATGAAATTTAACAACCTCCACAAACCGTAAATGGTTTACTCATTGCGTTTAAGTTCCCAAATTTATCACAATTATATCATAATTAATCTTATTTCACTGTCATTTTTAAAATGATTTTATCAATAATGTTGACAAATTTATAAATACTAATTAGATTGAATAAGTTTGTAGTTCTTTTCTCAGGCATGATTTACTTTTCAATATGAAGTCTAATAAACTTGTTAAATGAGAAATCTTATAACACTAATGTATCTCAAAGTAGATCACATGTTGGAAGTGAATTTTCAAGTTTTGTTTTGTATTTTTGTTTTACATGGAAACATGTAAAATTTACACGAAATGATTATTATTTGATTTGGATGTCCGATTAATTAGGTTAAATAACAAATGTATATTAATTTTTAATAGTTAAGATCATAAGTTGATTGAAGTTAGACCACCATGGAAAACCTGGAAGCAATGGACGTTCGTTCCTTCCTATTGTGGGACAATTCAGCAGTGTACATTCACGATCCCGCCTTGCGAGATTCGATCGCAGGACCTATCTGTCTCGCGCGAGAACACTTAACCTATTGACCACTGAGTCAGTTTCCAACGGTGTTAATGTCTAACTATATTAAATGAGTTTACCATTTATTCGTAAACAATACATGATAAAAATATGTACCTCAATTCAAGATTTTTTATTTATTTATTTTAACACATAGATATTGGTACAAGGAGGCATCAAATACATATGCGGCACACGGATCTCATTTAATATGTGTGAGAGCTGGGATACTGCCCGGGTGCCCAAACCGAAGCAGGTGCTTTTCTTAGGGGGCCATACCTGAAGCTTTTGACCTAAAGGTCTAATCCACAAGGCAGTGGAGCAACGTCAGGAGATATAGTCTCATGGTAGACGGTGATCAACGATTAGTTCATACGCCATTTGTTCTTTAAGGATCATGGAGTTCATGTGCACCAATGGTTTGTAATCAGGGTTTTCCAACTCCCCTAGGTGGACTCTCCATGTCCATCAACCTGGTTAAAGCACCGGACGTTCGCTTTTCGTCCTCTCGACTTCGTAAACAACATCCCAGCCACGAGAAGGCAGTGAGTAGGACTTCCCTGGCATAGGCTATATACGCGTGACTATGTGAGAGCATTTTGAGAGGGAAAGCGGACTCTCCCCACTCTCGGCCATACCAGGGTATTTGGGTCATTTATTATTGAAGGAACTTTCAAAAATCCAACCATTATTATCATTATTACATTTTAATTTCGTCTATTATATTCAATAAATTCTTTCATTTTTTAAATGTTTATCATGTTTGTTTTTCCAACTATATCACATAAACAAACTAGTTTGTTTTTTATGACTGAACGTTCACTATTCGTGCATTTGATTCACAAACGTTTTTTATGTATACAACTTTTTATTTTTATTAGCATAAAACACTAAAGTGTTGAATAGAATAAGTTGTCAGGTGGCAACATGTAACATGATCAATAGTTTATTCTGCTAATAACACCCTAAATAATAATAATAAATATAATAATAATAGTAATAATAATGTCAATTATTTATTATGTGCGAACTTATGTACTTGCTTTTCAACAAAAAAACTTTTTTTACGTGAAGGTGAGACTATAATTTATAGACGAACCAATCAGGTATGAGATAACAGGTCTTGAATTTTGGCGCAAAATCCATTCACATCCATTTGGCTAAATAACAGCTGATTTCAGTTTGTGATGAAAACCTTATATCCAATTCCTAACCCTAACTATCAACTGTAAATATTAATCCCAATTCCTCACAATGGTTTATAACCCTGATTTAACCGTAATATGTTGGTAGACATTCTCAAGGTGTTTTTAGCGTCGCCTTAAGGTCGTCCATAAATTATTGTCTCATCATAACATCTAGATAAACAGAAATAAGTTTAGTAGGATTCGAATCTACAAACTAATAATTTAAGTAAATTTTTATAGCAGCTATGTAATCTCGGGTGCATGTTACATTTTAATGAGGACTGGTCGCCTGAATATACCTGTATCCGAAAGTCGACGTCAAAACTGGGAATCAAATGAGGTACTTTACGTTTCAAATGTTCAACGTACTATCCTTTTAGCACAGAATACACATATATCAAATGAGGCTGATCAATTGCAGTATATAAGATCAACGGAAAGATTCAGACAACCAAAACAAATGAATTAGGATTCACTTTATTGCACAAGCCAATGGCTATTCAGATTCAGTAAATGAGTGGATAATGTGTTGGACGTTTGAAGAGAGAGGTGCTGGGTTCGAGTCCCAACGTAGACACCAACATTCGCAAGAGTCCTACACTAGGACGAGACGGTATTCAGGTGCATGGTTGTTCAACATAAATGAGTGCGCGAAGTCAATAAAATTGAGCCATCTCCATAGCCCTATACTGAAAATAAAATAGTGTTGAATAATTTCAAAATGATTGGGATAGTATTGTGTTATTAGCTTTCTACAAAAATTAAATATCCCCTGGTTATCTAAAAGGACTACAGAAGTCAGCCAAAAATTCAATCATACAACATCTAGTTAATTTCAATCACTTTGCTTCGACAAGATCCTTTTTCTAGAAATCATAAATACAGTCAAAAGAGTCGACTGAAGAGGAATGCAAATGAAAAGCCATAACTATCCACTTATCCAATCCAAAAATTAAAGTACAAAAACAGTATATTCA